GCTTCACATTAATTATTAACTTCAGTATCTGACTCCTATATTTTAAGATCTACAGCTCTGAAAAAGGAGACACTGCTGGCAGACACAACCTTGGGAGGGTTGAAATTTATTAGAAATCAAAGTAATCTATACTGTCTCCTGCTCAGGAAATTGAATTCTAGGAATTTGTGAGAGTCAACTCAGAGTTTACTGAGACTCCTAATTCACATGGATGGGGAACATTTGCATTGAGATAAGAAGAATCTGTTGATCTGTTTCTTGTTGCAAATCAAATTTAGTCATACCGGAATCCAATCTACCATATTTTAACTGGTTAGCAGGACCTTCAAAAATGGAGAACAGAGACTTTGTTCTTTAAAAATAGATGCAAGATTATCTATTAAAAATAAGAGACACTCATTTTGTGCATAATTAGCCAACAGACAGTTATAATCAAAGTGTAATAACAAGTTCTCATTATTTGGTTATAGGACTCTTCTGGCTGAGGTCCAACAGTGGCAATTTTTGAGAGAGTTTTTTGTACTCATGAGCTTAATCAAAAACAAGACTCAGCTCTGTATTTGCCTCCACAAAGTCAATGGACTAAACTCATCAAAGTCATAGGGTTAAAATTAGCTCAATGTGTCTTTGTTGTTTATAATGCAAATGGTGGCTATCCACAAAAGAAGTAACAGGGAGTCTGTAGATGGATTTGTTTCTTTGTTACCTCACTGAGCAGCTGGAAGGTATCTCCATAAAGAAATATAATATATGACTTCTGGTGAGCCTGAAAGAAACTCTATCCTCCTATTGTGTAAACTCTTGGCTGCCCTTTTCCAAGAAGGTGATGGACATCTTTGTGTGAATGCTTATTAACAACAGTTAAAAACATTATTAAAAGCTCACAGATGCAATTTATTCCAGGTAGCACAATAAACCCTAAAATAAATAAAATGGTGGTTATTCCATCTGAAGTCAGAAATTTCAGCATTTGCACTGCCTAACCCCTGCTGGAGGAAAGTAGAACAGAACTTGAGTGAGGGACGGCTGTGGCAGCTCTGTCTGAGAAGGGAGGAATGACTGTAACCCCTGCAAGCTGTGGATGACCAGGCCCAGTCTCAGGTGCCTTTGTCACAGCAAATGCCTGCAGGGATCCAGTTTGCCTGGGAACAGCTTTCTGCTGCCAGCAGCCCTCTCTGTGGGATGAAGACATCTGACACTGATGTTAAGTGAACAAAGCCTTTTGAAGCAACTAAATCCCAGTGCCACAGGCATGTTCTGGGGTAAAAACAGATGAGGGGTGGAGGGAGGGGGGAGCTCAGAACAAGGTTTGGGAATGATGTATTATTAAGCTGTTAGCAATATCTCCATGCCCTGGCTAAACCTCTCTGAGTGCTGCTCCAGCTGCTGCTGTGTTCTGTCAGCAATGAGTTAAATTCTTAGTGCAGACAAAGCTGAAGAGGTGAACATTCCTTGATTTTCAGCTTTGCAAACACCTTTGACCAACATCTCAAAGTGTGACAGCCTGAGAGCATATTAATGAGCAGCTTCTTCCCAATGGGAACTATAATATCAGCCTTTCTTCTCCCCGTGTTTTTTCCTGCTGCTATCATGAGCAGTAACATGATAGCAGAGGTGCATGAGCAGCTCAAAGATGACTTCAGCAGTGTAGATACCTAAAACAGCCAGGAGGGCTTGGGATATGGAAGCAGATATCCCAGCCTTGGAATGACAGCTCTCTTTCATCTGAAGATGGAGTTATGAATACAGCATTTATTTTTGTACCATCAAATAGAAATGGTAACATAATGGACCAGCACTTCTGCTGTTATTCTGCAAGTACAGAAGTACATAAACTGAAAGACCAGAGGAATTATTCTTTTGCAGTTATCCTTAATTCCTCTGTAGATGTAGAGGTATAATGGGAAGCCAGAAATGGACCTCTACAATGACCTACTTAACCCATGGGAATCTTTCACTAGAAGAAGGCGTGGGCACACTGTGTCAGAAATTATATACAGTGATAATAATATATTAGACAGGAGATAATGAGCCTTTCAGGGATTCCTAAATGTATTACTTGTTAATTTAGGAGGTACCCTGAGTGCAACTTATAAGGTGGTACTAATTTAGAAGGTATCATGAGTAACTCTGCTTGCTGGAGGGCTGAAATGTAAATCCCATTGTGCAACAGGGAAAATGAAAATGCTCCTTCCATTAAGTCTGTGATCTGTCCTGCACTTGCCACAGGGAATAGCATAATTTAGAAAGCTGCCTTCTAGGATGTTGAACAATCATGCCTCATCAGTGAGATCTCTAGATTAAAAATGTGAACATTTTTACATTACTAGAGGGATTATTATATTTTGCTTAATATTTAATATATTTGACATCAAACTACCATGTAATGAGTATAATGTATTAATGTCCTTCTAGTCATATTATTTCCCTGCTTTTATGTAACAGAACTCCAACTGCATTTGTTCAGTGATACTGTACAGTCGTTTGATTTATATTCTGCAGTGTCAGGCTGAGAAGAGATTTTAAAACTAATTGTCACAGTCAGGTCAGATCTACCCCCAAGTTTCTATGGATCCTGAAACAGGAGGCTCTCATCAGAGAAGAGTTTTTGTGTCCTTCCTTCAAATGTAAAACTGATGCAGCACCACCTTGCAAGGAGCCGGATGCACCTTCAGGCACCCAGCAGTAAGCAACAACACTGTTTTCTGCCCTGATTGATTCCTTCCACAAATTCCAGTGAATAGATTTTACTATTATGCTGTTACTGCACCTTATGCCAAAACAGACTGTGTACCCTGGTCCATCCCTCTTCACTGCTGCACACATACAGCCCCCACTGTTCTCAGCAGTGCAGTGAAGCTGACAGGAGCTGTTCCCTTGGTCCTGCTTTGCTGAGGTGAATACCTCATGCAAGGAGACTCCCTCCCCCAAGAGCAGTTCTGAGCTTCACACCCCACATGCACAGGAGCAAGGTCAGTCCAAACCATACAAGCAAATTTGTGCCTCCTTACTGGATCCTGTTCTCCTTCCCTTCTTTATTCTACTTATTTTCCTCCTGTCCTGAATTTTAGGTGAGTACCTCTCTGTGAACAGGATAATTGTTAGTGGTCTCTGTAATTGCGGCTATGCATTGTTGCTCCAGCTTCAGACTGCAGCTTCCCTTTTATAGGACTGACACTAAAGGGAGGGAGGCAGGCATATTTTTACAGCAGAGAGGGAGAACTAGACATAAATCTCTGTGTCTATAGCACATGGTAAAATCTGGGGCTAGACAACAGAATCTGTTCTTGTTTTATGTGTTTCTAAATCATTCTGTAGCCATATGACAACAGGGGTCCAAAATTCCTCACTTCCAAAGTAACAGGGACATTGAATTTATGGGGGGCTTCATGGGAAACAGAAGGGGATCTCTGGAGAATGTCAGGAGAGGACAGGACTTCTTGTTTCTCCATGGTAGTGCACAGACACTTTCCTATGCCTTTAACATTGCAATAACCCTTCAGGAGCTCGTTAAGATAAATGTCCATCTGGAATCATAATGGAAATGGAGGATTTAGGAGGTACAGGGACACACAAGAATTACAGTAAGTGCAAAGTATGCTCTGCTCTTCAGACTGGTTGCTGCTCCCTGAAGTTTGTTCTTCATTTTTCACTTATTATTTTTGTCTTTTTTTTTTTTTTTTGGTTATCCCTCTGTGTAGTTAATGAAGAGAGGACTCTACTATTGATTAACTTGATTTGGAAGCCAAATCCAGAAAAGGAGGGTTGAACTGACATCAGTCAAGCAGTCGACTTTAATTAAACAAAGAGAGAAAACAAAAAAAAAAACCAAAAAAAAAAAAGGAGAAGAGTGGGAAGCAATAGGAAAGAGAAAGCATAATCAAAAGAGAATGGACAAATGAAAGGAAAAAGCAAAAGAATTAATGGGAAAATGCAGATCGCTACTACAGGAGAAATGTACATCCGTTCTCCTGGCTTCTTGCTACAGTGATGAAATGTCTGGCAACATCCTCTAAAGTTGTGATTCTTTTCCTTTTGTCTTCTTTGTATTTATTAATTATCTGATATTTTAAAATATTTGGTTGCTTGGATCAACTGTGGCAAGGCAACTGTGGGGCTTTTCTGCAGTGCATTTTCTGTTGAATGTGCACACAAGCCTAAGTCCCCCTCAGAACAGCCAGCTGCTAGTTTGGGAGTGTACAAGAGGGGAAGGACTGTTGGGACCATTTGGTGATCATCACCCTGGCAACACTGGCAAGAGAAAAGCGATGCTTGTCTTTATCCAAATCTAGACTGTGCTAAATGGATGTAAATGTGAAAATTACTTTCTGAGAAAGGCTATTAGTTTTATGGAGAAGTCTTGAAATGTCACTGCTTTGCAATGTATTAACCTTGCTAAAGAACATTAAATAGCCTTTCTAATGGACACCTGATACATCAGGAAGAATTCTGAGTGAATTTCCACATTCTCCCCTAAGGTTGGTGTCCCTATGATGATTTGGACATGCTGGACAAATTTTCTCACCCATACACTCCAATATCAGCATGCTAGTTCAAGAAAGATGAAACATCTTAACTGCTGTAAATTCATAACTTTGAGCCTGATGGTAAATAAATTAAATCTATGTCTGACATGAGCTCTCTGAAACCAAAAATTCACCAGTTCTAAGAGCATTAATTTCCTTTCTGTTTTCCAGTCTCTGGGGCATATTTTAGACCAGGGCAATCTCTGTTCCTCCAAGTGGGGCTAGAAAATACAGTGCCTGAAATCTGTGAGATACTGGCTTTATGATTTTACACAGTATAAGAAGAGGCTCTGTAGATTCATAGTAAAGACTGTTGTATTTGCTTACCCAAATAAAATATGGATATTGGTTGGCAGGGTTAAAAGACAAACATCAGCTTTTTACAAACAATCACCTACTAAAGTTCTTCTAAAGTTAAATAAAATTTTGTATCAACTTTTTCTAGGAGCAGCAATATAAATTTAATGTGAAGATTCCACTTGAGCCTTCTACAAACATCCAAGCCAAAATGGACTCCAGAAGCATCCAGATATATACATTTTTCTTAGACAAGCAGGTTGTATAGAATTTAGCTTCTTCTTTTATGGGATAAAGAACGCATTTCAAATTGTTTACTGTGAGAGCTACAAAACCTTTAGTGACAGAAAATGAATGTGTCTTCTTGTATGATTATTGATCAATTTAAAAAAAGACCAAATGTGAATTCTTCCATATTTTAAATCCCCACATAGATTGATAAAAGTGTCACAGAACTTTGTGATATCTAATGGTAAAAAACACAGAGGAAAACTGATGTGTAAGTAATTCAAAAGCAACATAATTAACCATCATATGTTTTAAGTCCTGTTTAGATGTTTAATTATCAGCATTTTATTTGCTGCAGAATATGCTGCTTCTCAGTTGACTCATACATATTCTTCATATAGTACATTGCAAAGCACGGTAACCACCTCCAAAATGCCTCCAAACATACACACACACAAAGCCACACACACATGGTCAGAGAGATTTCATTTAATGAATTGAACCCAAAGTTGTTATTTTTATGGCTTCATTTGTAGGTAGACAGAACGCACAAATGCCATTCTTCACCGTGCTATTTTCAAACTGGAAAGGGGACATAAGTGTGCTGAAAGATATAGAGGACCCCTGTGCATAGCAATAGCTGTGGAAAGGCATTATCTTAACCAAGTCACACTTGGTTGAATGAATTTCCCAAAGTGAACGTTTTATTCTTCTGTATTCTTCAGCTCTCCTATCAGAGCCATTCACAGGGCACTAGATTATGCCAGAGAGACTTCTCTGTTTACACAAACAATTTAGGAACCAATAATAGCCTGTGTTGTTTTCTGTAGTAAAAGTATGTATACATGCATGGGCCAGTAGAGAAACCTATATATATATATACAGAGATTTTCATTATGTTAAAAAGAAAAAAAAAACCAAAAAACAAACAAACAAACAAACAAAAAAAAAAACGGATAGAGAACAAGAAAGGAAAGTATAATGATAACAACCATATTTTCTAGGTGGAAGCAATTTTTTACTATAACAGCTTTGCTGTTACTCACTTGGTAGTTTCTTTTAGCTGATTTTGGAATGCTGTTTCTAAAAAATACAAGAATTCTTTTAAACATGTCCTGCTTACAACTGTTTTGAGGTGGAACATTTTGATAGCTAGGGAGAAAGGATTTCCTGACATCAAAAACATTTGTCACAGGGCAATGTAGGTGTGTTGCTGTTTCTCTGACGCATCTCAGCAAATCTGGATGTTATACTGTGCTAAGAGATGGTGCTTTGTGCCCTCTGCACACATGCTGCAAAGGCAAGGAAGGCCAGACAAGGGAAGGCATTTGGTACCCTACAGCTTCACTGACCTTACTTCACATGCTTAGATTAGTCTGTAGATGACCTGGAGCTCTCTGTATCCATTTCTCCCAATCATCCATGGAAAGTGTGTCTGGAAAATAACCACTGCCTTGCCTGATACCTCGAAGGCAAGTGCATAAAGCTGGTGTCGTGAGCATGACACCAGTTTGGGGTATGTTACTCATCCTGTCACCAGTGGTTGTGGAGCCTGTCAGGCTCCTCTGTCCTGCACCCATTGCGTAGAGGATGAGAGATAAAACATCTCTCTGTACATTTTCTGTACACCCACCCACACAAGGCAATGCTGTTTTTGCAGGAGGAGAAAAGAAATTCATTGCTTCTGTGAATGTGCCAATGATGCAAAGGCTAGAGAGCAGAAAGAAAATGAAGCAATACATATTTCCCTCACAGAGTTGTATCAAAGGATTAATTTTTGGTTTTTAATGTCTGGGAAGTATAAATTAAGAGCAGGCTTTCCATCAATGAATTTATGGTATCTGAAACTCCTCTAGGAGCCCTAGGAAAACATATAGCTCTGCCCTTTGGTCTTCTTTTCACTCTGCCTGGATAAGCTCACTTTATGAAGCAGCATAATTTGCAGTGACCTTTTCTGAAGCTGTTGGTACACTTCCTGCTTTGCTGGAAACTACCATTTAGCCATGCGTGATGTGACTCCACATACATTGGAGCATAAATTTCAGGTTTTGTCCTGTGCTGTAGGCAGCTGTGATGGTGCAGGATACTATTGATTTTGCTGGGCAGTGCTGAGGGGTGGTTTTTGAAGGCTGCTTGGCTCTTGTTTCACCACAGACAAATGTATGGAATCAGTAAGGGAGGGTCATCTTTTGTAATTATTATTCTGCCTCTTACTTGTACAGAGGAATGATCATGCAATTTTATAAAAGGATTTTCAGACTTACTCCACATGTGTGTATTAAAGCCTACCTCTGTACCAATATATCTAAAGCCTTATGCCCATTTAAACATTTACTGAGGTCTTAATTCTGGGTTTTCCCACATATAAGGGAAGAGCATATAATCTCATATAAATACAAGCCCTTCTAGAGCCAGAATTTTCCTTCATCTGTAACTACTTCAAGATTTCAGCTCCCACATGTGAGAATGGCAGAAGAACATGCAAAACAATAATGTACATGTTTTCTTAATATTTTATGAATTATTATATATTTATAATTTTACATAATTATTTTCATGTGTACTAATTAGAACTGTGCCAGGCAGTTCAAAACACTCCTTGAATTACTCAAGAACTGTTGTCTGAAGGCTGTTCAGCAAATTTACCCTTGAAATTTGGTGAAATCAAATAATTTTCTCTTCCTTCCCCTCCCTTCCTCCTTCTTTCTTTCCATCTCTCATGTGATGAAGGTCTTTGAGGCTTTCTTCTTCATTGTTTAAGGAAATAAACTAAAGTATCAATGATTTTTCTAATTTAAAAACTTATGTGCTGTGTTATGTTTTTTCAAGTAACGTACAGGCCTAGTGAAGTAAATAACAAGTACAGATCTCTCCAGAGTCAATGTAACATTTTTCAATGTAATAGATTTTTCCTCCTTCACTGATTTAAAATTATTAACTGAGAGATCTTGTTTCCTGAAGCTACCTGTAGCATAATAAAAAATTATTTCATTTATGTCCCAAAAAGTTTGAATTTGCACAATGCATATTCTTATAGTAAAATGACTAGAAACTGTTCTTTATGTTGACAAAAAAGGAGGATTTTGATGGAAATGAAAAAAAAAGTATGGAGAAAATATTGGGAATTTGGCCAAAATAAAAAGTTGACATATTTTTCATCCAGATTAATAATCACAAACTTTTAAATCTGAATTTCAAGATGTTTCAGTTGGACTCAGAAAGCTTTTTTGAAATGCTGCATCCTGGAAACTTTCCACATCTTGGAAATTGGTCTTTGTAAGTTCTTGCTGCTTTGCTCATGTAATGGAGTGGTGTTCCTGGCCAGGTGACACGCCCCAAGTGGCTGCTGGGGTGAGGCAAGGTGTTTGGGAATTTACCAGTCACAAGTGACATTAAGAATTTGGCCCATGTGCCAGAGCTGGTAGGTTGCCTCAGAGCAGCAGGTACGAGATATTTCAGCATCAACTTCCAGTCAGGTGTTAGTGCAACACTTCAGAAGAAAATTTTTTTCTTTCAGTCAAAGGCTGAATCACTGACTTTGGTTAGGCCAAAAGCCTGAAGCCTTCCAGTTTTCAAAGGCTTTGCTTGCTGACTAGACTTTCAATTTTACAGAGAATGCAGCTTTCTTTTCAATTTAAAATCAGAGTAGGTGGAGCCTTTTCACCAGATCTGACCAAATGTACAACCAGTGTGATTGATGACAGCTGAGAAGCAGATTCTATAGCCCTAGTGTATATTACATTTATCCCAACCAACTTGACCCCTGACTATATTCTTTCTACTTTGTTCTTGTTTTTTCCCCTTTCTTTTGTCCACCTCAAGAGTTTTTCTTGAGAGCTCCTCTGAGTGACAGCCATAGAAAAGCCACTGTGCCAGGAAAGGATTCTTTCCATGAGTGGATCCCACATGTTCCATTCCTTTGAAGAACACTACCACAACCAAAAATAATAGATGCATCAAAAGTTATACTGCTGTGAGGCTTAGGATGACAAAACTTCAGTGCTTACTAGAAACAAGAGTAATATTCTGCATGCCGTCCTCTGAAAGGTTATAAAATTAAACTTGTATAATTTGATACACACAGAAGTGGTACTGTTGTGATAGATGATGAGATATGACTACAGGCCCTGCAGCCTTTCAGTTCCTTTTTTCCCTGTCATCTGCACAGCTAATATCAGATGACAACACTGAGATCCACCAATTCTTTTCTAATGCCCTGCTCAGAACTAGAGCCAGCACGTGACATTACAGATTCTATCTCCCTCCTGTGCCCTTGCTTGCCTCTTCTGTCTTCCTCCCACTCAGATGCAAATACATATGTCACTATTTGCCTTTCATGCATGTTTCTATACAATAACAGTGGCATACAGTCTTTTCTTTTTACATGAAGAATTCAGAGCACTACCCTATCATGAGATATAATTTTCTGTACCTCTGAGAAAGGTATTTGTAGAGGCCTTGACTGAGGAATGAAAAAAAATACTAAAGCAGATCAGTAGAAATTACTTTCTTAATGGTAAGATCTGAATTATACATTAGAGCACCATTTATTTAATCAATTTTATTATTCTGTTTAAAAAGGCAGTCACTTTTATGTGTTTCATATGCTTGCGAAGGTTTATTAGCTTGAGTAAAAGGTCATTATTATTCAATTGAATAATTTAGTTTTAAATTATTGGTATTGCACTTCATATTATAACTGCTTTTGCAGATGCATTTGATTATGTCAAATTCGCCTTTTAATCCTCTGTCTGGAGATCATTTTCTTGAATTGTTCTGTGTTTCTCACCCTCATAGTGGTATCCTAATGAACGCACAGAGTCCAGCCTCATATCTTCCTTGTAAATTACCGTGCATACCTCTTCTAGTCAGATCATATCAGAGGCTATCCGGTGTCATATAATCCTGGGTACTGACATGTGGAAAATCTTTTCAGGTGATTAATGCCATAGGCATCTAATTTTCCTGCAAAGCAATATTGCAGTGTTTACACAAATGCCAGTCTTAGGGATATGAAACGGGCATTTAGAAAAGTTAATAATCTGACCTTAATCCCCTCCAAGAATTATCTGTTGGTATTTCTAAAAATAATTGCAGCTTTATTCCTTGTCTCTAATGGAATCACACATTAATTTATTAGATGCATTGTTCATTAAAAACTTGGAATTTTGCATGGTGAAATAAATATATGTAAAGCTACACATAAAATACATTAACATTTGAAACATATACTAAGTAACAAAAATTCACAAAATATTTGTTTTCTTAATGCTTGAGCAAAAATACCCTTCAAAATTATTTCATGTTTGCTAGAAACATAAGATTTGTCCTTGACTGCATACTTGGAGACTTTGGTTTCTGGGCCTAACACTGAAATTCTCAATTAAGATAACAAATCATACACAAAACAATCCAACACAATAAAATATCAAGGCAGGCAGACCCAGGGTGGAATATTCTGTGAGCACCAATTTCTCATTGCTGGCATTCAACATCACACCAATAATGTCAGTGTGACCAAAGGTGGTTTACTCACATGTATCTATGAATTACATAATTGTCTGCTGTTACTAGGCTGCTCCTACCTCTGCTGAGGAGTTTTCCTCTCAGGCAGGCATTGTCCATTAACTTCACTAGAAGCAGGATCAGTCTTTCACAGCCTTTCATAATTTTGAACAAATTAAGATTTAGAAAATAATGCCTAAGATTTGACATAGGAAGCACTTTAAAAACGGCTTTGAAAACTCATAATTAGCTCAAGAATTACAGTCTCATTCCTCTCTTACACTGCCATTACAAGCGTTTATCTCAACTGATTTCAACAGAGCTGTTTCTGTTTTACACTGGTGTGAGGGAACAAAAAGCCCCAAGTTGCATAAATTCTTAACAGCTCTTTCATACTGCCTCTTTATTACCAGATAAAACTTTGATGAAGGACATTCACAGAAGATCAATATGAGAAACCACATAAGACCTGACTTTTACGCTACTGACTGATACTGAAAATCCCAGAAATAACTATTTGTTTTTGAAGCTCTTACTTAAGGTGATGACTGGGTTGATGCTGCTTTTCCTGAAAGAAATATTTCACCTTTAGGAGATGTACTGCCTCCTGAGTAAAGTTACTCCATAGCTCGGATTGCAGGGATATGGGAAAGGAGAGCAGTTGTACATCTAGCAATGAGCAACTCCATCCTTTGTGTCAGGGAAGAAGCCACAGTCCTTTCTGTGCTCTGTGCAGATGCTGCTCCCAGCTGATGTGAAGCACTGCTCTCAGCATCCTGGGAGGCTCCATGTGAAGGGCTGCTTGTCTCACCAGGGAAAGTAGGAGCTCTGGGGACATTTGGGATCTACTTCCAAAGAGCTGGCAAATTGCCTCATCACTGGCAATCTCTACCTGTAATTTATACGGGCCAGAGCACAGCTGTGGGGTAAACAACAAATGGTATTGGACTGACCAGCAATATATTGTCTGTGAGCTAATATAGCTCAGGATATATTCACTGCCAAAAGCAAACATTTTCCTTGAGATTCACTTGGGCAGCAGTGTTTGTTTATGTCATGGTTTACCTGTGTATGAAGAAGTGAGCAGGAGTAGAAAAGCAATTGCAATCACAGAGAGAAAGTCTAACTAATATTAATATTTCTTCAGCCTGATAGCTGTCAAATACACATTTCTGCATGTCTGGCAGTCTGCTTTAATTTGTTCCTATCAAATGAAGAGCAAATATTTTATCACAACTGTGTTGTATTTTTTTTCTATAAAAACCCCCAAGTACCACAACATGAAGGTTACAGAAGTGGCTATTTTTAGAAAGTTGCTCTTCCCATACTTAACCAAGACCATCATACTTTACTTGCTTTCCTCCAACTGTTACTAAAGCCATCCATAGCCTTCAAAATCCAAGCATTATGAAGTGGAAATGCCTGTGCAGGAAAGCTCTCCGATGCGATTGAGTCTTGATGACAGCTTAATCCCAAGCTCAGCGGAAGCTCAGTTGTGCTCCTTTTTGTCCCTGAGGTAGCTGAAGAGGGCATCCAGCCCCCCCTCGACGACCTCGGGCAGGGGCCGGGACAGGGGGTTGTGGGCGATGTGGAGCCCTTTGTCCATGGGGTTCCAGGCAATGCGGCGCAGGCGGCGCAGCAGGTACAGGTCATCTGGGAGGGTCTGTATGGCGTTGTAGTCAGCGTTCAGTAACTCCAGAGTGCTGATGTAGCACAGGGAACGCGGCAGACTGCGTATGTTGTTATTTTCCACGATAAAGATTTGCAGGTTGACCAGATACTGGATACTCTCTGCGATGTTTTCCAGCTTGTTGGACCCTAGGTGCAAGAAGTCTAAGCTTCTCAGGGCGAAAATGCAGAGGGGAATTTGAACAAAGCGGTTGTTACTGAGGTTCAGTTTCCTCAAATTTGTCAGGTCGGTGAAGCTCAAAGGCAGTTGTGAGATGCAGTTGTGTGAGAGGCTCAGAACCTCCAGCTTCCTGCATAAGCTGAGCTCTGCTGGCACTTCTTTCAGGCAATTCATATTGACGAACAAGACCTTCAGGTTCCTCAGCAGCCCAATCTCCTTAGGTAGGCACTTGAGGCAGTTGCCACCCAAGTTCAGCACTACCAGCCTGTCCAGCTTCCCCAGGGAAGGAGGAATCACCACCAGCTGGTTGCGTGAGAGGTTCAGCTTCTGCACCTCATGCAGTCCCCACAAGAAGTCAGGCGTGCTGGTCATCCCTTTCATGATGAGGCTCAAGCTGACATAACGCAATCCCCGTTTCAGCAGCGACTTGGGCTCTCTCCCTGCTAGAAGGGCATCTTCCCATGCAGGCAGCTTCGGGCCTTTCCTAAGGAAAACCATGCTCCTTCGCTCCTTGTTCTTCGAGTGCTCAGTTCCCATAACACTCTGGTTCACCCCTGAGAGAACTGAGGTTTTATTCCCCTGCAATATGCAAATGCCAACAGAGGATGACAGCCTGCTGGAGGTGGGAAAGTCAAAGCAAGGAGACAGGGAGGAGCCTGTGAAGTGCATCTCAGTCCAGCGGAACAGTTTCCATAGCTGCTGAGGGAAAGTTTCACTTTTGGGGGCTTATGCTGATCTTGGTGCACAGTCTGTAATGAAACACTTGCTCCTGACTTGTGAGCAAACCTGTTCAATTCAAACTGAATGCCACAAGACAGCTGTCACTGTCATTTGGCCTGGGCTTTATTGGACAGACATGTATCTTCACTGCAAAAAGGTCACAAGGATGCTGTATATAACTTCACCATGTCAGCTTTCTTGGCTATCTGGTACATACCATGACTGCAGGACAATTAGCAAGAGTGATTTCAAAAAAAAACAAACAAGCCAGCTAAAGAAGGAAACGAGCAAAGAAGCCATCGTTTCAGCTCAGATTTAAAGGATGTTTTCATAATCACTTTTATTTTGGTTCCTGATATCTCTGAAGTAGCTACCAGTCTACCAGAAAATTTTGCATGCTGCAAAAACACTGATAAAGACTTGTTATGTCAGTCCTTGTTTTCTGCTAAGTTAAACAAAAATAGTGTTCACAAAAAGTTCTAGCTTTTATATGTCCTTTGCGGTGAGGATTGACCTCTTTCTTTCCAGAAAGGGTGCCAAATTCACTGCAGCAGTGACATTTTGCCCAGTAGTATCTGTGCCCACTTGGATGATTTCTTGCTACCCACAGCACCAAGTGTGAGCAGTCATACCACACAGTTCTAACCAAATTACTCAGTCCTAAATGTCCTGTGCTGCTTTCACATCAATCAACCAGATTTTTAGGGTCTGATTCTTTTGTACTCTAGACAATGGAGCCTCTTGATGTCCCTTTCCTTGTGAACTTTCAGGTCTTCCTGGGCTATTCTGGGGTACAGGGGGACTAGCAGTCAAATAGCTTGAACTATAAATGACATTTAGATGCAATATAGAGGGGCTGGTGGAAGAGGAAATGAGCAGTGAGGTATAATAATACCCAACAACAGCTGAAGTGAGCTCTGCTGGTGAAAGGAAATTGTATTGCTACAGGAATACATATGCACTAAGTTTAAGCTCAAGGGGACCATAAAAATGATCTGCAAAAACTTCAGGTATCATCCAAACTAGGTGAAAATTGCAACAAATGGTGCAAGGCTTTCAATAGTGCAAGTGCAAATAGTGCACTTTTCAAATAGTGCAAGCCCTTTTCAGGGCTTTTCCTCTCCATCAATCCATGGTGATGAAGATGTGTTGCTGCCTTCTGAGAGATTTGGTGATGAATGTAGTCTTCCTTACCATTACATTTCAGAGATTCTCACCTTAAAACCTTGTGTTAGCGCCAATGCTAAAGGATTATGCAGAAAACTGCAGCTGGAAGTCAAGGCACTCCAGCAACCACTTTGGAGTCAATCCCCACAGCCCCTTCTTGCTGCCAAGCACCACACAGTTTCCTTTGAGCTTTAGGTCCCTCACAGAGCTACATCTGCTTGGGAAGAGAGGGAACAGGGGGGGCATCCCTGCAGTTGTGTCTGACGAGTGGGGTCCTGCACCATTGAGGACCACAGCAGGCAGTGCGAGACGGTGGGAGCTGAGTGAGCCACGCAATGAAAACCTGTGTTTGAACAGGGCTGACATCCCTGCAGTTGTGTCTGATGAGTGGGGTCCTGCACCAGTGAGGACCACAGCAGGCAGTGCGAGACTCAGGTGGGAGCTGAGTGAGCCACGCAATGAAAACCTGTGTTTGAACAGGGCTGAGTAGCATAAAACTGGCTGGTGCTGAGGCTGAAATATTGCATTCTCTGGAGTGTCTGGGTGAGCCTGAAAAAGTCTGAGGCCGGTAGTATCTGGTTAGAGTGAGCTGGCAGCCTGTGAGTCACAGATCCCTCCCTCACAAGAGCTTTTTGCCAGTATTTGTCAGTTTACATACAAATATTATCCTAATTGTCATCACAGCCGTACTGACTCAGTGCTCTTGCTACTCGTCATCCCCACATGCTGCCCAGAGTGCCAGACATAACCCTGACGCTGCAGGCAGAGGAGATGCCCAGGGGGAAGAGGAAACCCAATGGCTTGGGCAAGACTGGGCCTTGCATGATGGGGCCCTAAAATGTGGCACTTCATCCGAAATGGGTGGAGAAGTGAAAGCATGAGCCCCTCATGATCTCTGCCTTTGGGATGTCAGCCCAGCTGATGTCAAAAATGCACTTATTATCAGAGAGCATCCATGGATTTGAACGTGGCATTTTGCTTCTGCAGTGGCAAATGCAAAGGGAAGAAAAAGGCTTTTTAGGGAGCATTGGTAAGATTAGTTATTTCCCTTCTTTTTGTCTCAGTTCTGAAATGAGGAACCTGCTGCAGAGAATCTGCCAGAATCTGCCAGAGGCCAGCTTTGCTCCCTGTGGCTGGGCTCTCCCCTGTGACCATGGCCCCATGGTCGCTGCAGAGCTCTTTCTTCTGCTGGTCACTTTTAGTAACAAATGAAAACAAAAGCAAAGGAAGCACAGTATCCCTGTAGCCACTGCCTCCCACCATGGCTGGCCAGATATTTTTGGATGAGAACATTGTTCCCATCTCCAAAACACACTGGAGTTTACTGCCTGGGGACTTGGCAGCGCCAGCTGTGGCTTCTCACCACAGAAATCCTCGTTTCCTAACAGCGTGACTCAGCCAAAGTGCTCTGTATCCTTCCCTGGCTTTGCATCACACTGTCCATTTGAAACCGGGCCTGTGATACAGCCCAGCAGAGCCTGGCCTGGGCTGTTTCTGGAAAGCTTCACCGAGGGATCTCTATCAAAGAAAAATGCTTGTTCTGCTTCAGCCTCACAGCATCTCCTGCTGTATCTCCACTGCCTGCCAGACATCAAACAGCAGCAAAGAGGATTTTAAAAAGAAATTCCACATCTGCAGCTCTCATTGTCCGGTTCCCTTCCTGCCTCGGTGAGTATCATAAGCACTGTGTGAAACAAAAAAAAAGAGAAAAGACAAACCATTTCCTATTCTTTGTTCTCCAGCAGAAAAACAGGTCATTTGAGTATGTTTGCATTTGTGGAGATGGGAAACTCTGAAGTAACCAAATTAAATTTTTCTTTAAATCGAGATAACAAAGCCACAGTGGCCTCATCTGGGCATCTCAGGAACTAAAATACTGTACAAAAATAGTCCCTTGTCTCTTGGTGTCCTGGAGTGGCTTTGTTAAAACACTTTTCAGTTCCCTTTTCTCTGTGTTGCCTGCTGGCCTGCCCTGGCCCTTGCTGTGCTGCACTGTGAGGATGGATCCATTCCTTTGGAATGCTCTTAGGTAGCGCTGACCTGTGTCCACACAGGCTGGCAAATAGCAGAAATTAATTTCATGCATGCAGGTTTGGAAGCCCAAATTGGTGGGCTTTATATGCCACAGTGTACTTGATAATCACTTTGTAGATGAAACAAAAATGTTAATGTTCAAGGGAAAAAAATAACCCAAAGTTTGTTGAAGGACTTTGTAGTCTAACTAGTATAATAAAAGAAACTGCATTATTAGCAATGATAAAAAACTGGTAAGCTGACAAAAATGACAAGCTATATTTTCTGACATTCTTTGACAATGCAAATTATTAGATTTTTTTCTTAAGAAATCAGGATTGTCAGCCCTAAAAAAATCTGAAGATGAGTTCACAAAAGACCTGGAATGTTACAGTCTATTATCTATGGGATCTTTTATTTGTCTTCAGGTTTTGAGTCTGTAGAACACACTTGGGATACATTTTCTAGCTTTTTTTTCTGCATCCAGGCAATACTTGCCATAAAATCAATTGTATTGGTTTTAAGCAAAAGTTGAGATCATCACATAACTATTTTTCTACAGGATTTGAGCTATTAATGAAATATTTGATAGAATCATGCTTTTAATAAAACCATAGCTATTTTGACACACTGAGTTTAAATTTTGTTTTGCTGCAAAACTAATCCGGTCATTGTCTTTTAAATTGTTGAGCTTACAATAGGTATCTATAGTTTCATTATCATATATGTATAGGTTCATAATTCATTTTGAAACTAGTTTTATGTCCTCTATGGAGTCAAAACCTTATATAGTTCCTCTGTCTCAGTATTTTTACAAATGTATTAATATAAGAAGAAATCCTTTAAATCTTTAAGCATAACCATTTCTGAAATGCTGGGAAATTCAACCCACAGTCTTTTGGAAGAAATTTTCATTTAATTCATTATCTGGGTCTTAATAAACACCTGTTTACATGAGGATGAGGAAACTACCTAATATTTTCTGTGACAGAAAGGATGATTTGGCTAAAAAAGGGTTAACTCAATTCAAGTTCACCAGAAAACAAGCAATGCTGGAGAAATATTCATTACAAATAGAGCTACAGCTACTGAACCCTCTTTTCTTTTGCTATTTCTTTCCTCTAAAATACAGTAAATAAATGATTTTAAAAGCACCAGTGCCATTCAGACTGTCAGAGAAATCCTCTGGTCTTAGCGCTAAGAAAGCAAATTTTGTAGGTTTTTAACTCCTTTGTAGTGGCTTGTTGATCTTGCAGCTACTCTGAAATACTAAGTCAAATTTTAATGGTAATTTGAGATTTATGAGATGTGACACAAGACAGAAACAATTCTTAAGGCAATTTCAGATTTACTGTTAATTTGTTTTTAATTATGGTGCTGTTAACAGCTTTTAATGACTATCTGTCCCTGGAGCTTTCTTGGAATGTTTCATTAAGGTCCCATGTGGAGCTGCTGGATTGCCTGACCCATGAAGAATTGGACCTGGAGGTGAATGACTGCCTGTGCAGGGGCTCATTTTTCTGCAGACCTCTTGACAGAAGACAAGCTTGAACTAAACCTCGTATGAAATAAAAAGAGAGAGATTTGGGGCTGTGTGTTTATGTAGCCTAGAAATGACAGGCTCTTCCTCTTGGTAGTCAAGGACAGCAGCAATTCTTATATGACATGGAATTAGAGGAAGTTTTATTCCTTTTTTGCAAACTTGCTATAGTATATTGAAATTCCAGCAAATACATGAATGACTGTTTTGGCACCTCCTACTTCTGCCACAATTTCCCTGTGTGTACACAAGCCAAACAGCTGGTCTATCTTCTATGTTAGACAGAGGCAACCCA